AACTCATTTCTTTAGATCCACTGGGAAGACTGGAAATGGTGATTGGAGGGATGAAATCCAGAAGCAGGAGAAACTTCAATGTGATGTAAGAAATGTGACAAGGGAGTAAGGGACTGTCCACATTCTACCTGCAATATCACGTCCACAGAATACTGATGGCAGATTCAAGAGGAACTGTGAAATGATGAACTTTATGGGTGGGGGACATGAAATAGAATGGTTAGCCAGTTGTAACAAAAGATGGTCTGTTGAACTCCCCACACCTTGATGATGTACATTGATATGGAAAGACCACTCTACAGAAAACTAAACACCAAAAGGATAAATGTATCCAGAACTGCACCCAACTTGTCTAGAGGTATCTATAAACAGGTATAAGTCCAGGCAGGTTGGAGGAATATAGAAGCTCAGAGTTTTGTGAAAACTTTGGAGCCACCATGACATTAAGGGGGAAAGAGATGGAAGTTAGAAATGAGAAAAAACAGTGAACCACAAGGTATATTCCATTGATCTGTCAAAATCCACTGCAAAGATCATATAAGAAGTAAAAAAACCCCAAAAGAGACAGAAGCTCAAGTACAGGAAGAAAAGGAAATATGAGAGTCTTGAAAATCAGAAGTTCCATATTTTGGAAAAGTAAAGAAGATTGAGCCTACCCTTCCAAGTAAGGTGATAAAAATTCCCAATGAATCATATATGCAGAATGGGATCAATACTGACTTAGGATTCTGACCAGTCAACCCAAAGGAGAAAGAATGTCATAGCAGATTATACTTCCCAGGACAGGGCTAAAAGTTGTGAGATATAAAGATAGTGGTGAAATGCACACCCAACAAATGCAGTTTTCATGTGGATTCCCTCAGAACTTAATTGAAAATAAACAGGTGTCAGCTCTGAATAACAAAGAAAACTCCTAAGAGAAACCATATGGGGACCAAGGGTTTCCTTTAAACAGAGTCAACATTTGTAAGAGCCATTCTCCTACAGGACAAATACCGAGGGGAGATTCATGAAACAACTGATCACTGAGCTCTATGATGGTTGGCCTCTTGAGGAGGACTACACCAGAAAGGTGTCTCAAGACAAGGAGCTTACCAAGATGACTTCCTAAAGAAATGGTTTCAATTGGGGTCCCATGTTTTTCAGATTAGTATGACGCTAATACAGTAAAGCTGTTGAGGTAGTGAAGCAGAGTCTGAGGAAGAAAGGGTAAATGAGATAGAAAACTAAGAAGATGAGTAAGCAAAAGATGAAGAATAACGGACAAAAGGTAAAAGGGGGTCAAACTACAAGATTATGAAAATCCTGAAGTTAGGGGAAGAGACTCAAAGGAGAGGAGACAAAGAAGTCTAACCACAAGCCACAGAGAAGGAATCTTATGTTCAGGGAAGATGTGGCAACTGAATCAAAATGAAGTACAAATTAAAAGAATCTGCAAGAATATCTTATACATATACTGCAAACTGTGGTGTCTGTCTGAGCATTCGTCTTTCTCCCAGATGAAAAGCTGTGCACACAGGCAAAGCTCAACATTCACTTTTGAAATGACAGGAGAACAGGCATGAATAACGTTGATGCCAAATTTTATTTTGTAAGTAGGATATTCTACACTACATTGTTAGGAATTAATCACACTATCATTCATATATCAAAATGTGACGTAACTTAAAGAATAAAAATTTAGATTTACTGTATGTTATTGCTGAGTGGCTCTAAGCATGACTGAAATGTTCAACAATTACTTTTTGCAGTGGGCAGTATAAATAGCTCAAAGTTTTGACTCTGAATGAAACCAAGAGTGAAACACAATTAGCATTTTCAAGTTAGTGAAATAATTTAAATTGATAGATTAACTTAAATTTTTCCCATCACTGGGGATGGGTACTTTTGCTTGTAACAAATAGGTCAGAAAGGAAGAGGGGCAAAAGATCTTATGAGTTGAGGTACATGCACGAGGCTCACTCGAGAGCAAACAGAAGTCAACTGTAGTAAAAGAACTAATTTGAAATATCTAAGTTATAAAAGCAGTGAAGGACAAAGATGAGTGCTACCTGAATTTGTCAGAAGTAAGAACCAGAAGCAAATGTAAGTTGTGAGAAGAGCCGGATCAATACCATCCAAAAAAAAACGGCAGAAGGCCATGTGTCCTGAGTCCTAGATGAACTAATTAAATGATGTACAATGATGGTAACATCACAGGCTGGCATAGTACATTATTATGTGTAGGGGTGGGAATTTTGTCCAAAGGCTTGGTGCATGTGCAAAAACGTTTTGATAGTGGCAAGAGATAATAGCTTTGTTTGTTGGAGAGGTGAGTAGCATTTCTGAAAAGGGTTCTACCAAAGTTCTACCTCAAAACAAAAAGAGATGGAGCATCCTGAAAGAACTACATACCTAAGTCATTCAGTGTATTGAAACATGTAGTTATATACGACTGTCTATTACATCCAATTTCCATGATTAGTACATACCATTACAAATAAGAGCTTTAAGTTTGCTGATCAAGTGATTTAGTCTAACAGGAAAATCCTCTGCATGTAGATCTCCTTCACAGGTTAAAACTGTGTTGACCAAAGTCTGCTCCTCCTTCTCCATAGCTAGCAATAAACAAATGTATATTTTATCAGAAAACTACAGCTTAGTACTCAATGAAGGCTTTGCCACAAAAGCTCCATACAACAATAATAACATTCTTAAGTTAAAGGGCCTTTTATATCAATCAAAGTTAACATTTTTTTACACTTAAAAATGTATTTCTGATAGGTACTTCTGTTCACATAATAGCTTTCTGACTTGTGCTGCCGTCTATACGCATAATTTTTGCTTGTCACTAGCCTTGATGTTCACACCTACCCTCACATGATTACATGCGGTATAGCTGTGCTGCAGTATGCAAATGAGCATGTGACAACCCTCCACCAATAGGAGCATGACACACCCTCCTAGCACAGCTGACTCCCTTATACAGTAGAGCACCATCATCACATCAAAATTAGACAAAAAAGACAAAACAGAAGTGGGGATGATGGGTGGGAAGTGTGAAAAGAGGTATGTATCTATTGGAAATACATTTTCAGTGTAGGAAAATATTAACTTCCAATATGATACTTTAACTCCGCTCTCATAATAACTAGAATCCCACAATGAAATAGTGAAGGGACCAGTGCAACAGTTACCTAGACAAGCACTCTTCATAAGGCATCTGATGAGAACCCATGGAGTGTGATACCCTAATGTATGGGGTGGAAACAACATTCATTCAATCTGAAATTGGACATGCCTGATGGTGTAGAGTGGCTAGGATCAGACCATATTCTGTGGGTCAACTCCAGTCCACATGGAATCAGGTATTTGTCTTCTGATCTAAGTTAAGAGGAGGGTCCCAACTGTCTGTACCTCAAGACCAGGAAGCAGAAGGGAAAAAGAACTTCCATTCCAACAAACTAGCCTGGTCAATATGATTAGCTATTGCCTCCAAACAGTCTTTAGTAAATGTTAGATCAATGATGAAAGGATCAAACTCTTAAATAGGGTCAAAAGGAAGCCAAATGACCTTTTCCCAATTTTGACTATGGTACTTGAGACAGATGGCACTAATCAAGGCCAATCTTCAGAGTAAGTTAAGGGGAAATGCACCATAAATTGACCCTCTATTCAATATTTCCACCACCACAGAATGAACTGTATCTATTTAAGTATCCCAGGAAGATAAAGTGTGATGGTAACTGAGATCATCAAAGATCATCAATTCATGTACGTTTCTACCAGCTTGAAAATAAAAAAAATATCTACCAAAACAAAAATATCATAATGAAAGGTTTTGGGAACAGATAAGCCCTGGTACAAAGAAACTCAGGTACAAACTTGTTTTAGCGTGAAAGATCTTGTTTCCATTACACTTCACAAGTTTCAGCAGCATCGCAGAGCACCAACTGTTATTACTAGTAAAGTTCTTCTCTAGAGGTTTTCAGTATAAAAAGTTAAAGACTATGTATTTCATCATTGAGCTATTATTGCCCCTTTCTTAAATGGGACATTCCAGTTCCATATTGACACCAGCCAAGCAGGGTATTGCCTAAAAAATACATAAAGACATACTCATGGATAAACATCTGCTATATAGCCACAACTTAGATATGTGGAAATTATCCTAGGTTCAAAATGGACAGAAGGTAATGCAGAAAAAACTTGTTTCTTTGATCCAGGCCAGTTTTTGAAGGTTTGTAGGCCTACCTTACAGACTAATGTAGCCACAGAATGAAAACACATAAAGGTTCCCCACCTAATCTCCTCAACAATGTTGGTGAAAATTGCCACAGTGAACTATCAATAACAATAAGGATTTGATTGATACTTACCACATAAGGGACATTTTTGAAACCTGCTGATATCACTACTATTCAACAGTTTTCATTAATAAGAAAGGACAGATTGTGTAACATGAATGAATTCATGAAGAAGTAACATTGCTTGTTAACCAACACACTCACTCCATCTCTTTGCATATCTCTGTGCCTTTGGATGTCATTTTCATCCATGTCACTTTTGTCTCTACTTATACACTGTACTCTGTATACCTGTCACAAGTGAAGAAGTTAATCAAAACTCTTCATTAAGCAAAATAAAGATATATGGAACACATAGAAAGTAATTGTCTATTTGCCAGCTCTTTAATTCATTGCGTTTAACTGTTTGATGGTAAACACCTCCTAAAACACCTGAAAGAATTATTATGGTTTCATTATAATAATTATAATCAGAAGTAAAACAAAACTCTTAAAAATTCATTTTGCAGCTTACATAGTAAGAAAACCTCAAAACTTTCCAAAGAAACTGACTACTTTATCGTCAAATTGTAACAAATGTGTGAAGTGTATATTTGTTATGATTTATTATACAAGTGGACTTTTATCATTAACTATATTAATTATTTTACATTAAATCATTAAAGGAAGTAAAGCAAGGCAAAAATCTAATCAAAATGCTAATTGAACGTGCCTTTACAGTACAGCTAGGCAATTACTAGAATTTGCTAATTGCTCGATTATCAAGATTATTAATCAATTCAATACAATTAACTGATTATTCTCATGATATGGCCAATAAAAAAAAAAGGAAAGTTTTTGTCTGAGTTGACAAACACAAAATGTATAATGCTACAACTTAGGTTTCAATACTTGCAGCAGGCACAGCACACAGAAAATGTATTTCTGCCTTCTAAGCTCAGCGCACCAATCTATATATATCTCACCAATTTCGTACCACTATTGAACGTGCTTAGCATGTGACTACTCTTCACCAATAATATTGCATCACCTATATTGGTGCAGCTAGCTCCCTCTGTTATTCCCGCTCAATCCCCACTATTGAAAATTGGCAGGATCTAAAATAATAACACCAGCAGTGGGAAGGAAGGGTGGGAAGTGTGTGATAGGAGATAAGTATATTTCAGAAATATATTTTCAGTGTAAGAAAATACTAACTTCTGATATAGTCTTATCTCTACACACACACTGTAAAGGTGAAGGGGCCAGTTTAGGTGCACAACATAGAAACCAAGAGGAAAGTGATCACCCAGAATGAATGGGTGTGGTGAACTGAAAACGAACTGAAGCACACTCATGAAGTACTGCACTACTTTTGGAACAGGTATGCCCTTTGACCATGAAGAAGGAAATGAACCTGATATGGGCAGAAAAAAAGAATGTACACAAGTGTAATTTATTCTGAGATGTGCAATCCATAGTAAGAAAAAAGCCCTGATGTAGTTATGGAGATACCCAACCTCATTCATACAGACGAGGTTCCACAACTCATTCTTGGCATTAGGAGGTTGAGGATCAATAAAATAAAAACAAATACAGAGTAACATAAACAATGTGGCTAGGGCAAGTGGACCATGTTACATGCACACTCGAATACCGACTATAAACAAAAAGTGTCATATGTCAAACAACCAGAATTATGAAGAGGAAGTTAGCATGCAGCCAAAACTATACATTGCATTTTGAAGTAATAATAGCAATCTGAACACTGAAATCAAATACAAGTTTTGCTCCTTATATTCAATTAAGGAATTAAAAAAACAATGAATAAGTTTTATGCCTTGTAAGTGACATTTTATACAGCACTGCTACTTCTACTTCATATTACTAGATTACTTAGCCTTTTCTTAAAACATTATATTAAAGGCAAGCATTAACATGTAAATGTGGCTAAACCAGCTAATACAGATGGCACTTTAGTATCAGAAAATTAAAACCATTATACAAGTGTATGCATGTGTTTCTGGTTGTCAGCATTTCCAAAAAAAAAAGCTAAGACCCACTCAAAGCAAGTCATTTCAAGAAAACAAAATAGTAAAGGCTACATGTTTGTAACTTAATACAATGCCTTAATACTTTGTAAACAGTAATGATCATTTTTGGATTCAACATACACAAGTCACTCAAAAAAAAAAAAGATTTATTTCCAACTTTTAAGAGAATAATGCTTCTTAAACATTATTTTTGTGAAAAGCTATTAGTTTGATAAACTAGGCAGGAAATGATTACATTTAACCAAGGTACACATACTGGGATAGTACTGCCAGACAAACATGACACAACATTACAATATTATGGTATTTAAATTCAGTATAGTGACTGAATAATTTGAATTCATCTTCTGCATGTAATAATATATATATTATTTTCAAATCAACTACCAGCACATATAGTAAAAATTGTGCTTTGTTTTTCTTAAATTCATATTACCACTTGGTTATTTTTGTTAGCATTGCATGTGAAGTCTGAAGCACAACAAATATAGGACTTCAAGCAAGCTTTCCACCCTTACTTTTATAGTGAAACAAATCCTATTATTTTCCTTTACTTTCTAATGTAGCATAACACAAGTTGTAAATCTTTTAAATGTAAAATTCACTGAAGGAAAATACAAATTCTCACTCTGTTTATTAAATATCACTAACCTAAAACTGAGTAACAGCACCATTAATTGAACAGGAAAACACATCAGAAGAGTTAACATTTTTATGCTTAAGCCTTCACACTGGATATGATTTGTAAACTACAAAATATAAGTAAACAAACGCCTGTACTATGGTTAAAAGAAGACTTTATGCATACAATAATAAAAAAGTACTTAAGTTACAGTATACAGTACCATGCATATGAGCCCTACACTACAGTACACTGTACAGGCTGTCTACAGTATTGCTGTATGTAGTACTAAAATGAAAATTTAAATACAAAAGCATTTGTATTCAAATATTAATTTAAGTTCAAAGACAAACTTTCAAACTGTCATCGTAAACAATCTTTTGGTTTTATATAGGATCGGCTTTTTCTTATAGTTATACCACAATTATAAAAAAAAATGCTTGGCCTATGTTCAATACAATTTAGCCTTTAGTTTAGGCCTAACTAACCTACACATCCGTACTAATACAAATAGTTATTATAGCAATCGTACAAGGCTACGGAACGACTCGCCACCGTCACTAACATGATAATGTGAATACTGAAACCTGACTGAAGTGAAAGTGAAAAAGCAAAGTGATTATTATTGTTTCAATCACATCTTCATTACAAACAATTATAAAAAAACAATACCACAAAGACTTCTTAAACTCACATATATGAATAAAAGGCTTGACTTACCAATATAAATATGCTTGCACTAATTAAATTATGATGTTTTTACATCTTAATTAGCTCTTAAAACTTTTTCACGCATTCACATAGTAGTTAACGTTACACCCAAACTTAGTTTCTGAGATCTTCAAGTCTTCACACGCATGCTCATAGGGGAAGTTGTTTACTAACAATTTTCGTAAAGAGCGCCCCATGTATATATAAATGATTATAATTGATTTTTATGAAAACAACTAAAACGAATTAATGAACAAGTTTTGTAAATTTTCAAAACTTTTATATTTAAAGATTCATTTTTAAGAATAGTCGATCTTATATCACACTGTATTACTAATATGTATTTGGATAGTTGTATGATTTTAATTTTATCCTTTTTACTGCTACTTTACCAAACAGTTTGTACATATTACAAAAAATACTATGATAACGGTTTTAACTGATTAGCTAAAACCCTACGATTAATACAATTACCTAATGTTTGTTGTCAACAGAAAGTTACACAATGAGGTGTCTCTGCTCTGCTCTGCCCAACGAGTGTATCGAAACCCGATTTTTAGCGTTATTACTCCTCACACTTACCGTTGAGCCACGGGGGATGGGGCATATAATTAGAAACACTACATTTGATTCGCGGCATCAAACATGCAAAAGCTCATTCACAATGTAGTCAGCTTATAAATACTCTAATACTGTTGCGTCAGCGATGTCACGTGACTAGTATCACGCCACTTCTTTCTCGAACCTTCGTGAATTGTCGGGAGATTACTAGATTGAGGGTAGCCTGGTATATATAAGATGGTCACAACGTGACGGACAATGTGTAGGTAGTGAGTAATTGAACTGCAGTCAGAAAGTGTATAATTGAACTCGAGCACGTGAGACGTTCGTTGAGAATTATAGCGCGACTGTTGAAATTAAGTGTATTGTAAAGCTGTATTCGGAAAGAATAAACCAGTTTTATTTAAGAAAGGACTTGTGTCGCTAAAGTTTCGTCGGAACGAAGTTACGGAAAATTAAGTAACGACTGGAGGCGTAACAAATTGGTGTCAGAGAGTGGGACAAAAAAAATGGAAACGAGAGGCGGAAAATCAAACTACAGCTTAGCAGACTTGATGGCAGCAATACAAGAGCAGCAAAAGAAACAAGAAGAACGAGAAAAGAAACAAGAAGAACGAGAAATTAAACAAGAATAGAGATTACAGCAGTTGTTGGAGGAAAAAGAAAAGAAACAAGAAGAACAAGAAAATAAACAAGATGAGAGATTACAGCAGTGGTTGGAGGAGAAAGAAAATAAACAAGAAGAGAAATTACAGCAGTTGTTGGAGGAAAAACAAAGAAACAAGAAGAGAGACTACAGCAGTGGCAACTGGAACAAGAAAGGAAACAAGAAGCACAAACGGG